AATATAATACTTAAGTAGTCATATGTATGGCCTCCAGTGAGCTACAAGTGTCATAATATATATTTATTAAAATTTATTTGAAGAAAGAAACATTAAGAAAAGCCTAATTTTAATAATTAAACTTTGATTATTAAAAAAAATAATTTTTTAATACACGTAAATTAGTTTAAAATTTTAAATCATATTTATAATCACAAAAAATAAGTAAATTTATATTAAAAAATAAAAATATGTTTTTATTATTTAATACTTATTTAATAAATAAAAACCACTTTTCCGCAGTTTCAAATAAGCTTTTTATTCAATATTAATTCATAAAATTTATGTTTCCAAAATTTGGCGAATTTGCATACTGCGTATAACCTGGGAGTTGGGTGTGGAATTTCAACCCCTATACTCTCTCTCTCAATTCATATATTCTCTTCTCTCTCACACAATTCGCATTTTGATATCATTTCCAAGGGAACGCGCATCGCTTCCTTTTTGCCAGGATGTAACTCAGAGCAACTTTGCAGCCGAGCCGCACACGGCAGTTTCAATTTTCCCGAGAAATGTTCTTGTTTGCCTTTCATAGCAGTCTGGCTTCGAGTATAGTCCATACACACACATTCACATTCGGAGCGAAAGAAAACGCACACGCCTTCCGTCTCGGTAAATTTATGCAGGATAAATATTTTATGTGCAAATTTCGGTGCTATTTGCATGCAGACGGAAGAATTTCATAACGGCCAAGAACAAAATAGAGACCAAATATTATTCACACAAAGAGAGGGAAAAGCATCTGGAAAATGGCCGCGCGCGCGTCGAGCAAGCTGGCAGCTGTCGCGTGGCAAAAAAGCGCAGAGACAGTTGCTGATTTTCCCAAAATCCACTCCTCGCTCTAGCTTTCGGCTCTCGGCGGACAAACGACAAAATCATTCTATATGAAAAATAAATCACGCATTTATTCCACGTGACAAGTCGAGCTAATCCCCTTTTAAAAGGATGGTTTTTTTTCTTTCTTTTTCATCTGAAGCGAAGAATATAAGAAAATAATTTCTTCTCTCCGCGAGGAGACATAAAAATAATTTAAAATTTTCCACACTCGCCGAAGAAGAAGAAGAAGAAGTTTTAACGTCAGATGAAAGTTATGCTGAATAATGGCCGCGTGATTCATGTCGTTTCCCATATTAAAATTTCCAGCAGCCGCCGCCGCACAAACTTATGCCCGTCGCTCTCATAATCTTCATTTTATTGGACTATTTATCAAAAGTTTGGGAAATTAAAAAGCCGCTCGCGCTCTTGTAATTGCGTACATATTGCATAATAAGTAGGAGTGCAAAAACTGCGATATAAATGTTTATAATTATAAATTATTTTTTCGCATGACGGGGCGCCCAACAGGCGTTTTTCTTTTATCGCAAACACAGAGGCCGAAAGCGATGTGTATCTCGCGTATTATTATTATTACGAAAGTCGTAAAAATTTATATATTATTATAAGCCGCGGAAAATATGTGAAAAGGACACATAAAAAACGGCTCTCAGCAGCTCGGAAAAGCACGCCATATAATAAGCTTTTGAAATGATATTTAATCAAAATCCACTTTGTTATGCTGTTGCCTGTGTGTGTGTCGGGGAAAAAACGTGAAATTTTTTAATATAAATAGCCGCTTTGGGTAATTAATCACGACTCGCGGGAGCGGCCAAGAAAAACGCGCGGCTCTCTCCTGCACCGACCTGCTCTAATCTTTTGTAATACGACGAGATTAGTTGGCTACTTTAATTAAATCATTTCGGAAGAGAGGAGACTTGTTTGCGCAGCCTCCCATTTATTATTTATCTTCTTTTCAATAGGAAAAAATATTTATTTATCGCCGGCTCTGGAAGTTTTGTAAAAGTTCTCGCCGTTCATTTGTTGATTTTAGCTGGCTCGGCAGCAACTAACTGCGCTGCTGGCTGCTGGTGTTTCACAAGTTTAATGAAAGGAAAGATTTGTTGGCTCTGATAGCAATAATAAGCCAGACCGAGAGCTATGGAGAAAAATACTCTTACTATCGAGCCAAGTGAACGCCGTGAAAATTAGATCGCCAAAATTAATACCAAAAGAAATGTTGGATGAAAATATGTAATTATTTTCTATTTCTTTAATTCTTTTGATAAAATTTTATAACTTTAAAAAGAAAATAATTAAAATTGATGCTTAAGAATATGTGATAATACAATTTTTGGAAATTGAGGGTAAAAATTTATCACAAGTTTAATCTATTTTTTAAAGATTTCAATAAAACCATAGATATTATGTTGTATTAAAAAAAATAATTTATTTCAAATTTTGGGTCATAATGAAATTAATATCTTTGGAATCTGTCTGAAAAGATTTATATTTTAATTTATTTAAATTTATTTTAAATAGTTTAATATGCAATTTATTCTTTATTCATAATTATGTTGATTCTTTGCATAGTGCAAAATAAAAAATAAATATAATTTATAATAAACAAATAAAATATAACAGAATAATATAAAATAATAATGTACTATTAAATAAATAAAAATAATAATTAATATTAAATATTATATTAAAACTTTCATTTCATGTTTTCAAAATCAGTACAAGCAAAAATTCTTTTTATAAAAGCAAACTTCTATTACACTTTCAGCTCCTTTTCATTGCTTTCCACGGTTGCTAATGTATAAAAAAATTTAATTTCAGCCCAGTGAGGGGCTCCCTTGAGAATTATACATAAAAAGCGCAATCAAGCAGCGAGCGGCGCGCACGAGATGGCGCAAACCCGGCCGGCGAAAGAAGTAATTTGGCTGGCAAAATCAAAAGACAATTGCTTATGGAAAAGGTAATTTGGCTCCGTTCTTTTTTCCAAGACCATTTTTTTTCTCCACGGCATAAATAATAATTATGGGAATAATTTTCGTTACTCCATCCTCGCCCCGCACAGTGGAAAGAAAATCTCCCTCGGCTTTTGCGGTTTTGAAAAAATAATACAATTTTTGTCTCAAGGCGCATATCTTGCAATTGGAAAAGGATCGCGTGTGAAAAAGCAGCGAGAACGATCGGCGGTCCTCGCTCAGCAGGTAATTTGATACTTTTCATGAAAACAACAGGGTTTAGCCGTGCACGGGTAGCTGACCAACAACAAATCATTGGCCAGCTTACACGGTGTTAAATCATGCTGGAAATCCTAATGGATTCGCAGTCGGCGACAATAATAATTCATGCACGCGGTGCGCGCCCGTCGAAGCGAGTCGGAGAGATATTATTGAAATGTCGGCGGGGCGAATGCACCGTGCTGCTCGCGCAGAATAATAAAAAAAACAAAAAAAAACGCCACACTGCTCTCTGGAGGAAAGAGAATAGAAAAGAGCAGTGCACGAGAGAGAGAAAGAAAAAAAGGGAGGCCGCAGCTGAGACTTTTGAAAAGGCGACGTCATTATTCTGCTTACACTCGCCATTCTTTCTTTCCCAGGCCTAGCTGCTTTCTAATCGCCGTGTCAAACCTGTGAGTTTTCAATTATGCTTTTAAAAATGTAAATGGGCGACACACGTTTTTTCTTTCTTTCTCCTCTTCATGGCTCCGAGCGCTCTCTGCAATTTGTGAAGCGCTTAGAAAATTGGTCCGTTTACAACCGACCATTCGCCACGCACTTTTTTGGGTCACTTCCCTAGCTCGACTCGAGAGACTCCGGCGTCATATGGACTTGAGCAGGAAGCAAAACCGTTCGACTCGTTCGCAGCGAACACAATTAGGCTTTATTGAAAAAAAGAGCAGAGAGAGAGAGAGAAAGGAAATTGAAAATGAGCTGGAGCGAATTTGTTAAAACTTTTCCGCGCTCTCAAGAGAGTTTTGAGGCTCCTTGAGTGGAAGCAAAAATTTGCTGTTTGTTAAAAAAAATTACTTAATTACAAATTTGAAGCACATTTTTCCTTATTTTTTTTAGATTAGACTTATATAATTGCCTTAATTTCAGCCGCGGAGCTCTAATTTTTTAGTCACATGGCGCAAGAACTGTTTTTTACTTCAATAAGAGACTGAATTTCTGAATTAAAAGCAGGTTAAAAGTTGATTTTGACATCTAATAAATTTTATAAAATAAAGTTTTTCTCGCGCATAAGTTTAATCCCTTCTCATTTAAAACTATACATGATGCCAAACACAAACTTAAAAAGAGACCAAGAAGAAAACGATTTCCACAATTCTATTTTCATTTAGATTTTCAATTAATATTTAGTTTTTAAATATATGCTTTGTTTGCAATTCTGAACCCTTGATTATAGAAATATGCTCCAATATAAAATCTGCTTTGTTGGCGAGTTTGTAATTTAAGAGATTTAGTTGAAGAAAGGCACGTAAAATTTAGCTAGGAAAAATTTTAATTTCAATTTTGGACCCTCATCCGGAGGGGCCAGAATTGCAAACCCATTTTCCGATTTAGAAAACCTTGATATAATTTAAGAATTTATTAAAACGTTCAAAAGAATAATTGATAAATAATTAATGAATGACTTTATTTCGAGGTTGGACTAAATTTAGAATGTAATTCGGGAAATTATCTATCAGCCATCGCAGAACACAATTTTTTAATAACACGAACGTCATTTTCCCCATTTTACGACCATTTTTATGATTAATTAAGTCACCAGAGCTCCGAATTTTATAACGGGCCGTTCGGAACGAGTTATACAAATTACGTTCCAACGGAATAACACCAGAGATTATTATGCATGTACAAGCTCACTCTCGGAAAAGACAGAAAGACCGATAGCTGTAAAAAAAGACATAGCCTGGCTAAAATCCAACATACACAAACAAACACACACACATGAGCACAGACGGAGTTTGACGTTAAATAATGATCACGTCATTTCGTTTCCCCCGCGTACCAACAACACAAACACGACAGACGGACGCTTATTTATTTTTCATATATAAATTTTACCCAGAGAGATAGATACGGTGTTTTTATGTATCGAAAGCGGAAATAAATAGGAGCAAAATGTCATACCTGTTTGTCTAAGGATCATTATTCGGCCGTCACTGCTATTGGCGCATCTCCTTTCGATCGGCGCCCCTCGGCGCTGAGTCGGCGCCACGGCGTCGAAAAACGGCTCCTGTCGGAGGCCGACGCTCTGCTTTTCAAAATCGAGCACTCACACAAGCACTGTGCCGACGGTTCGGCTCAATTTGTCGACATGACGCGGCGACGACTTATCCTCGGAACAGCTTGGGTCTGACTAGCTCCGTGGCCGCCGCGAGCTGAGCTGCTGGATTCCCGATTCTGCGCGCTTCGACCTCTCTCTCTCTCTCTCCTCTCCTCTCTCTCCATGTGAAAAGAGCGAGACCCGTTGAATAATATCCAAGCTCACCAAGCTTTGCTTCTTGGTCTTCGGGCAGGCCCGCCAAATGGGTCACTTTTTGTCTTTAATGGACGAGCTGTGTTTCGGCTGATTAAATTTAAGCACCCGACCGAATTGACACGTCTCTCGATATGTGCGCCGGACGGGATGAATAATGATGACCCACACCACCCCGTCAAGAGTGCTTTTTGCTCAGCGCCGCCACCGCCGACTAATAAGGGTGTTACGCCGTGTGCCGTTTTTTTATATATCTGTGTGTAGGTCCTTATGGGTTGTGTCGCATAAAGTCAGACGGTCTGCCGTCGAGGAACGTGCTCGCTGTACATCAAGTTTGAATATAAAGACCAATATCGATTCTATTGAGGTGCTGCTTGGGAAAGATTCGAGACATTGATTATGCATAAAGCACTCTAAGTGTTTTGGAAGATGTTTGAACAATTTATAAAAAGCAAGTTATTGTTTAAAAATAAAACATGTTTTTTTTTTAAATTTAACGGAACACATCAATTAAAGAAAATTTGTATTTTTATTATTGTTATTATTTTAGTAAAATTGTTTAAAAAAAAATTAACAATTTAAAACGATATTAATCATATTAATATAATAAATCTCTATTTTAAAAATATTTTTTAAATAATAATTTGATTTTTAAGTTTATTTATTCGTGATGTTGTCATAACAGAGACACTGATATATTTTTTGATGACATTAAATGTTGTTGGAATTCAGACTTCAGACTTGTTTTCATTTCGATTGAATTAAGTAATGTTATAATAACTCCCTGTAACTCTCATTACAACATTTTATCTCAGAAGTTAAGCAAAATCTTGAAATCTGAGATAAATTTTTTTTGTACCAACATAGTTAAATGATCCTGTTCCTATACAATTTTCATTCTGTCAATTTGAAAATTATTACAACAAGCAGCACTTTATGATATTAAAAAAAAAATGCACGACATACTTTAGGGTTAACATAGACGCGTTCTGATACTTCTTATATGGAATTTTTCTCTCAAATTTGTATTAAGTCCATGGTACAAAATTTGAAGTTAAAATTTATTTTACTTAATTATTGATGTTGGTGAATGTCCAATAAATTAATTTGTATAGAACTTAAACCTGACTAATCCTAGATTAATATTTTATTACAAGCCTTTATTATTTTTCTGCTGTTAAGTAAAATTTTTATACAATACATTAAATTTGTTGAAAAGAGTGGAGTTGAAAATAGAGCTTGATATAATGGATTACTATAGCGTAATTCAAAATATATAATTTTTTTGTCATGGTCTTTTAAAATATTATTTACGAAGATCATAGTCAAATTTATTTAATACACCATCGCAATGTGTACAACTTTATAGGGGAAGAAATACAGTGGATATTTATTTATCAATCATACAAAGCAGCTTCAGACAAACTTAATTCAATTTCACAGCTTATATTAATTAATATGATACAGATCAGATTATTTTCTTCTCACATTTTTCGCACATTCACAATCCCTGTTTACAACATTTTTGTGATAATTTTTATTTTTACAAAATTGTCAGTGTGATGTGAACTGCATATCTATATATTCACTGTAAGTTTCTATTGTAAAAAAATACCTTTTTTTAGATTAGTATTTCATTGCTTGGGGCCGCGTATCGTAAAATTTAGTATCAATTTCAGAGATTTTGTTTGATTGTCAATGAACAATGGATTTTATGTTAACTTCCAGTCACAGCTAGCTCAAATTATTAAATCAAAAATGAAAAAAAGGTTGAATCCTCCAGTTTATTTTCCGCAGTCTCAATAACTTTGTGAATTTTGAAATTACCAAAAGTTATAATTATTCTCTGTTCCATTTATATTATATGTTTTGTTTGCACCTCTCTCGGTGCCAATAAATAAATATGCGCTATAGGCAGAATAATAGAGATGGATAATCAATTTGCGCTCTCACAATAAATCCCCGGCGGCGGACAAACTGCACGTTTTGAAAATGCATTCGCTCGTCGACATTTTCGCTATGCCGGACAGAAGAGGATTGAAAGAGAGTTTCAAAAAAGTTTTGGTTCTCTCTCTCTATACAGTTTTTCACTATGCCTGGTTCCGTGCTGACGTTTTATAAAACGTACAGTGGAAAAATGCCGCCGCCGCTGAACCTGGTGTGCCGTTCATTAATTTTTCCAGCGGCCGGAGCTTTGCCAGCAGCACCATTCCAATTACGGACATAAATATATTCCGACGAGCAACTCTCTGCTGACTGCTAACTTTTTCATCCGGCGGCGGCGGCGGCGGCGGCGCATCATTAAATCTATCAAACACGCCGGAGAAGGCAACTTTACTTGGTCTTATTGCACACCACTTTAACCCTTTTATATATATTTTATTACAAAATGAAACCGATATTACAAAGTGCTGTGCAGGTGGGGGGTGGAAAGATAAACTTTTCGAGACGAGTTTTTGGTGCCGGCCGGGGCTAAATTAAGTATGCGCGTCACGTGCCCTCAGGCTCTGCTCGGCTATGTAAAAAGCTAAGTGAGCAATGTCACACTTTTTGTCGGGAAATCTGCTGCTCGCGGTCCGGGTCGCGCGTTTTGGTGATGCAGGCCATGCATCACCCCATAATTTGGTAGTCGACTCTCGAGCGCACCCGCAAAAAGCAACCGCTCGTGAAATAAAAATTACGCCAAATGTATAATTCTCTATATATTTACCAACCGCCCCGTGAATTATATTTCCAGCAAACAAATATGCCATATTTTTTTGTACAACTCTTTGTGCCGCGTTCACGCAGGCGAAAAAACACGCCGCTCTCTCTGTGAACTCTGACTTTTTTTCGGAAAAAAAAATTGATGTCAAAACATTGTAAGCTTTCAACGTGTGTGCGGCTGATTGTTTAAACGCGGACATAATTTCAAACGTCGCACACACGCCATACCAGAAGAGAAATATGAACTCGGTGTTTTATATATTAGAGGAGAAGTTATACTTGCTCGGTAATGAGGTTTGTGCTGATTAAAACGTGCAGTGCTGATCCTTCGCCTTTGGCATCGCGTGCCTTTTCTTTGGACCCAAGAGAGAGATTATTTGAAATTTTATATACTTTCTAATTACCAACGCGGCATATGGATTAAAATTGTGTTTAATGTATCTTGTCTCATTAATCTAATAAATGGGATTTTAAGTTGTTCTCGATTAGTTTAAACAGTTTTCAAAACACAAAAAAAGTAATAAAAACTTAAAATCTGTAATTGTATTTTAAAAGTTTTTATAATTTAATTTTTTAAATTCTATATTTTTATTTAAAATTAATATATTTTTTCTTATATTAAAATAAAATAATTTATTATAAATTTGCATTATTATAATAAATCATTAAGATGATGATTTATTGCGCTTTAAACAACATAATTTTCTATTACATGCATACATATTAAAATAAATTTGTTGTGATGCGCTAAATTTCAATCCGCATATAGAAGGCTGTTTAGCACCACTTCGGCGCTGCTTAAAATTTCTGAAGACATTCGTGTTGCTCTTTTTCAGAAAAAAGTTGTTTTAATGGTATTTTTAGACTACTCTAAGGCGTTCGACACAGTTGATCATGACCTTTTGAAAAGAAAATTGTCTCAGCTTAATTTATCTCCCCCTGTAATGAAATGGTTTGCAAGTTATCTTTCAGGAAGAACTCAGGCTGTGAGAGACCAGAATGGTGGTTTCTCTAAATGGAATGAATTACATTGTGGTGTGCCACAAGGATCTGTTCTTGGCCCGCTTTTGTTTTCTCTTTATATGATTGATATTAATAGGATTTTCAAAAACAGATGCAAATATCATATTTATGCAGATGATGTTCAGTTATATATTGAGTGCGGAGTAGGTGAGCTGAACGATGCTTTTGGAATAATGAATTTAATATTACAGGATGTTTTGAAATGGTCTGAAAAACACGGGCTGCGCTTAAATCCAAGCAAGACCAAAGCTATGTTAATTCATTCGCCTCGCATGAAACAAAAAATTAATTTTAGCAACCTGCCAAAGCTGTTTTTGGGTAACTCTGAAGTCGAATTTGTTGAAACTTTTAAAAATTTGGGAGTGTTTTTTGATAATGAATTTCGTTGGGACAAACAGATTTCTTCAGTTTGCCAGAAGGTGTATGGGACATTGAACAATCTTAATAAATTTCGTGCTTTAACCCCTGAAAAAATTAGGCTACAACTTTTAAAAAGTTTAATTCTGCCCCATGTTGATTATTGCAGCATAATTTATTGCGACGTGAGAAAGGAGCGACTTAAAAGGATAGATGTGGCATTAAATAATTGTTTGAGATATGTCTATGATATAAATTTCGGTGAGCACATAACCCCTTTTTATGCTAAAGCAGGTATTTTGAAAGTTGAGGAGCGAATGAAGCTGAACACTCTGTTGATGACACACAAAATATTATATGAAAACATCCCCCCCTATTTAAGGAAATTATTATTGCTGCGCGATGACTATCAAGTCAGAGCTGCTAGAACACACAGATTGTTTCTCCTTCCGCCTTTTGATTGCAATGATGACTCTTTCAGAATGACAAGCTATCGCCTTTGGAATGCACTGCCGCAAAGTTGGTGTTTAAATGAAAATATTAACTCTTTAAAAAATAAATTATTGCAGCAATATTTGAACCAGTATAAGCTGAATGAATGAAATCACATATTAAAAAAAAATAAAAAAAAAATAAAAAACTGAATAAGGACTGATCTGGAATAATAAAAGCTGAATTGCGAGGCTCAAATCAAAGACGAAAAAGCCTGTTTACTAAACATAATTTGAGCTGCAGTTTTTTGCCAGGAGTAAGAGCAAAAAAAGAACAAAGAAAGCGGCATTTGGAAGTATCAGGCAGTCATTCAAATGCAAG